CGAGTTGGTGTGCGCAGATGATGCGCCCCCGCCGAAGCTCCCCCTTTACGTTGTCGTCAAGTTTGAAGGGTACTCGGGGGGGGAATGGTCGTCTCAGGAGAGGTATAGACGTTGTGTCCCTATTTCTCCCGTCGACACCACCTGGCAGGACGGGGGGACGCAGGTCAGGACGCAGCTGCCCCTTAGGCTCTGCTGGGCAATTACGATGCACAAGTCCCAGGGGCAGACTTTAGCCAAGGCCGTCATTGACTTGGGGCCCAAGGAGGCCTGCACGGGGCTTACTTTCGTCTGTCTCAGTAGGGCGAAGAGACTTGTGGACCTCATGGTAGAGCCCATGAGTTTCGACAGGATTGGTAACCTTGGAAATTCGCCGACGATGAAGGCTAGGCTGCAGGAAGAGGTTAGACTTGGGGAGTTAGCACAGAGTACGAGGGTCAAGTACACGGACATGGGCGTCTTCAGCGCCGTCGCGGGTAACCAATGACGTGAATTGCAAAGAGAAAAAGAAGAAGAAAGGGTCTCTTCCACCTCCCGCGGACGCACACGTCTGACGACAGTTACATCTATCAGCTGTCGCTCGTTTTAGCGACAGCTACTATATCTTACAACCCTGGCAGGGTCGACACCCTGACAGGGTTCCTGCCCGTGGACCTTGTGGGGACCGCCGATTACCCTGTCACAGCGTCCGTACAGGGTCTATTTGCCTGCAAGGTCCGCACAGGGTGAGCCAAATGGCTACGGGTGCAGCAGCAGTTGTTTGAGACCTGCGAGGTAGTTCTTCCAGAGCAACAGCCGGTCTTTTCTTGCTCTACTCAGCTTCGCCCCGTTGTGGATGTCACAAATGTTAATGTATTCTTTGGAGCAGAGACGGATCGTGAAGCACTTGCCGCCCTTTCTCTGTGGACCGGCAGCCGTTGGAGGGCAGATGCATACTGGGACACAGACTATCATATTGGGTCGTGGTATGGGGTCCAAGCAAACGATGAGCGCCGCATTGAGCGGCTGGAGCTAGGAAGCAACAACCTTCGAGGTATTTTTGTTCACAGGGGAACTGCTACTGCTGTCTAGAGCCAACTGAGGGGTGGTGATGGCTACAATTCCAATTTCAGCTGCTGTACAACGCGCAAAATAAACATACAAAACCGTGACTACGCTTCCCCCATTAAATCAACGCTGTCCGCTGCTGCCGGGTGGCGGAGTCCGACCAACCCCACCGTCCTTTCCATGCATGTGCCCAAGAACACACCCACACCAACCTGCTGAAGTTTGCATGTTATCCCAAGCAAATAATATGATCGTGGTGGTATCCACAGCGCACCCCTTCAAAGCCACCTCTTCGTCGGTTTCACGCGATCCACTCCCTAACAGGCATGCGTCCACTCGCGTTGGTGGGGGCTAGGTACGCGCTCGTAGTTGTGGTTGGTAGACGCCCGGCTCTGTGTTCCAGGTACAGTCCAGGACTGATCCAGGTTACAAGTATAGTTCAGGACAGGCTCCCGAATTTTTCTCCGAATTTTCGTGGGGGTGGTCCGGGGTTAGATTATAGCTACAGTCCTTGGCACCACACAGCACAACGTGCACCACACGTTTCGTAAGGCAGAGGGCCAAACCTCATAGCTTGGATCCAGGAAAAGAGGTTTGGCAAGCATCCCTCTGCATTTGGCAGCACGTCATCAGCACTGGCACCAGCAACGCACCGCCCTGCAGCATTGCACACATCGGATTTGTGCCTCTGGTACATACACAGCACACACCGCATCGCACCGGCGACAGCTGATAGAGGGGGCAAGCCCAACATCGCCACACGCCCACGGCGGCAGCGTCGATACCCCATGATGGCAGGGCGGTGTATTTCCACTCTGTCTAGTGGCGTAGGCGTACTCAACGGCTGGTATTCGTGAGATTTTCCCATGTGGTGTACTGCTGTAGTCCCGCGCACGTCTGTTTTCTGCACCGGATGACATGTCAATGTGGGGTCCGTCGCGACTGCCACCGGTACCCACATTACCATTGGTAGCACGGCACATTCCGTGTAGAATCTGTCACCATCGTTGCCTCGCACCTCTCCTTGACACTACTCACAGCACGTACGTGTGATACCAATACGCGAGATTGTTCAGCGTGTGGCCTCCATTCCGATGAGCTAAATATAAATAGCTGGCGATGTTTGGTACGACAACGTTTTAAATTTCGCGAAATTTCCAATATTTTTTGTAACACGTGCAGACTGCATTGTATGCGTTGCACACCTCGCACAAAATACTCCGACCAATAATGTTTGCCTTCGGACAAGACACTGGCTATATCTATGATAACAGAACGGCTCTACGTGTAGGCTTCGATGTTTCGGCTACATTCTTGCTTCGCCCTTCCTCCCAGAGCACTAAAATCAATATCCCCCGCCCGCCTCACTCTGCAGATACTCTGCCCTTCCTCCTTCACATGCAGCATCTAAAAGCACCAAATCCTGAGCAGTGAAGAATAAAATATCAGTACACAACACTGCGAGATGCTTCCTTCGATACCTTTCGTTCGTCACAAAGACGAGTCTTGAATGGGACAATCCGAGCAAAGCCATAAAGCCCTACCAACCTTTTCCTTTTCCCTCCCCTCACGACAAAACCAACCAACTAACTCCCCACCCGTCCGTCTCTAGTGCGTCCGAGGGACACGATTCGTACATATCCACCCTCGGCCCCGCACACAGTCTCGGCAGGCCCATAAGCCCGGACAACTCCCTCCCTCCCTCACCAATCAAACCCACTTGCTACCCACCCGGCCCTGCCAGACACGAGCGACAGCAATCATTCACATGTCCTCCCCGCCCAACATAACACGGACTCCTACTCTTTATGAATCTCGTGCCACGATCAGGTCCACATTCTCGCCAAAAAGACCCCACTCTATTGTACGACAGCCTACCACTGCGGTGCCCTTCTCGCCCTGTCCCCGCAAAGCGGTGCACACCAGCAGAAGCAAGCGGCAGTAAACACCACCAAAACACAAGAGGCTGGGTGACTCGTCAGGAGAGAGCAGGAGAGACGGACAAACAAAAAACAACCAACCCAAATGCTGACCAACCAGCAAGAACAAATCTAAACGAAGCTCAGGAAGGTGGGGCTCATCTTGGCGAGGTTGGACTCGCTCTGCGCCGCGGCGATGAGGTCGTGCACGGCCCTATCCACGGGCATGGGCTGCCCGTGAGCGTTGTTGCGTACCCTGGGCTTGAGCTTGTCGAGGCGGCTCATCACCTTCGTCACGTTCATCCCGATGCGTTCTTTCAGCTGCACGTCCACCTGGACGGAAGGAACGGTTTCAATACGTAGAATGGTTCCGTCGCATATGAGGGTTTCCATGTGAGGCGTCTTTCGTAATCACCTGGGGGGGAAGGCATCAGGCTAATCGACCACTCCAAGTATTGTACGGTAGACGGGGGGATCAGCAACAACAACAACAACAACAACAACAACAACAACAACAACAACACGACACAAAGCCATACCGCTTTCTGCTGCTCCTCTGTCCTGTTGACCGGCGCCTTGCTGACGTGCCACGAAAGAAGATCGTCCCTGAGGATCAGCGCCAGGAACGGTTCTAGGACCTCCTTCTTGGCCATCAGGGCGCCGCTCATCGACACCATGGTCAGAGCGAGAACACCCTGATCGGTGTTTTGGGAAACAAAACAGGGAGGGACGAACACAGCAACAAGCAACAACGATGAGGACAGCGGAAAAAAAACAACACAGAGGGAACGGCCAGAAGGCAAGGAAAAGGAGCCTTCCTGCCGAAAAAGAAGGCAAAACAAGGCACCGCTTGCGGTACCTTAGAACCGTCACACGGACTGGATGGACCCTGTTACTAACCAGAATAAAACAACGACACCAACACGATGTTCTACTGTGACGCCTGCCTTTTGGTCTCGCCCGTTTGATACGACATAGTGGTGTCTAAATTCGCGGCTGGGCTGCTCTCAAGTCGTTTGAAAGGCAGCCGAGGCATGCTCAACAACGTCGGTGGGCTTTTTCCACTTATGCAAAAAGGCGTGTTGTGCTTGCTCAAAAACGGAGTGGGTATTTCTGTCACTCGGCACACAAGTGTGGTGTAGAAACATCAGGCTTTATGTGAATGTTGAAGGAATCAAGGGCCAAGCCCAACGTGGTGCTCACAACCAAGAGTGTCAATGTCTAGAGGAAGGAAGGTGCGAGCTGATGACAACCTGCGACCAGCGAATTGCAAGTCAAGCAGAATGCGACGGGACCGGGTGTGTACTGCCTTGCAACCCCAGTGAGGTGCATCCTCACCTCCACTAGCATGGGCGACATGAGCGTCGACATGTTCCTCGTCAGCCGGAAGGGGACGTCCTCCGCTTGCTCCAGCAGCCCAGCGTGGGTGTACCTGACGGCGCACGTTTTTTTTTTTCGTCATTCCAGAGCAACAAAACGTGAAGAAGCGGGACACTAGTGAGACCCTTGCGAAGCGGAGGTCTCCGCTCTAGAAAGCAGTTGCGAGGCAAAGTGGGTGCATTTTCCGGCCGCCAAGACTCCACTCTCAATACCACCATGCTATTGTAGTACCTTCGGGACGGCGGCAAATGCTGCCATTCCACATCTCGTTAAATCAACCGACCTTCTAGATACGCCGGTCGTTCATCTACCCACGAAGTAACTACCTGCTGGCGGATGCAAATATAGCGAGATAACGATATCCCAGAAATGTATTGAAGAAAACAGAAAACCACAAAGGCGCTCTCAACCTCGGACGAATTTAGCCTCCACCTCACCAACATAGGCACCCGTACGGCTCGCAACTTCTTGTTGGATAACAGCCCTACACTCGGAAACTCAACGAAATACAAGCTCAGAAAAATAAAGCAGAACATGCTCGCTTCCCCCAGACAGAATTCACACCTACCTCCCCTCATATCAAGCACAAGAAAACACGTTACATGACCAAAAATCTCCCCCAAGTCCAAACAACAACATCAATGCCACTACCAGGTACAGTTTAATCCAATACGCCGTGTCTGCCGCCGCCGTTTCGAAAAAAAAAAAGGCTTACCCTGGGCGGAACTCCCAGCTGACCACTCTCGCCGTCCGCTTGTCAAAGATGATTCGGTGTGGGAAACGCTCCCCACACGTGAAGATGTGACACAGCAGGGACGAGATACCCGCTTGCGCGGCGAAGTGACGGCGGAAAGCCCACACCGCCTCCGCGTCCTGATGAGGATTGTAGAGTGGTCATATCAGAGTGGCAAAGATGGCGGCCGATTTCTGTTCAACACACGGAACCGGAACCTGCAACAAATCGTCACCAACTACCGTTTATTCCACCCATTTAGCAAAAGTAAATCCAAAGGGTTCGCCTCAACGCGGCAACAAGACACAGAAAGTAAAATGACTCTACATGGAACTGCATAAATCCAACACGATGGATTTAAAGTCTAGTGCCGACGCAGCTACTGACGCCCTCCTCTCCCCGCTAGACTGCTGAAGAAGAAAACAGCAGCACACCTTCACGACTCCGTGTACGTAGCGCGTGAGGATGTCCGCAGTGACGTCCTTGCTGCAGATCTCGTTGAAGACCTTGAGCCTCTCTTCGCTCTCCGCCTTCTTACCGGCCTCCTTGTCGGCGGCGGCGGCCACCGCGGCGCTGACCCTCTCGCGGCACAGCATGATGGGCGCATCCGGGTCCAGCCCCTGTTGTCGTGTTGTCGCGTTGTTGTTGTTGTTGCTGCTGTTGTTATTGATTGATATTACTATTGTGGTAGTAGTTGCTGTGGCGGTTGTCGTGGGATTTGTAGTTGCTGTTCGTTGTTGTTGTTTATCATCGAGAGATGTGGGAAAAAGGGCTCCTTGAGATTGTACCCTTTGTCAAGGAGATCTCCACAGAAAAGATCACCCGGTGGATATGACACAAGACACATTTCGGGGCGTCATGTGTTGATTTTCGTCACTAGTACGAACGACACCCCGGAAGGCGCGCGAAGATAGCTCGCCAGGTCTAGACTTTATCTACTCCAAAATATTGTTCTGCAAACTCAGCTTCGATTTGAAGCCGTGAGCCCTTTATTTCTCGTCTTCGGTTGATATTTCGATGTTGCTGTCGTTATTTCGAGACACCGGAGACTTGTCCCTGTTTCAAGTTGTTTTTTCGTGTATAAACAAATCCCCACACGTTTTTTTTTTACCTGGAAAATAGAAAGACGAACGAGGAGGTGCTGGGGAACGCCCAAATATCTTTTGGACTTGAGGATTATACCAAATATGTAGTCATAAAGTATCCTACAACGATAATAAACCGGCTTTGCCCCGGTACAGAAGCCCTACAACATGGGTAAATTCGCGACAGGTTACATGCTGCCTACCCCTTGGGCCTGATAAACGAAAAGTTAATTGGTGCTATGCACAGCGGAAAGCAAGGAACAACATCAAAAATATTGACGCAAACAGCAGCTGGCGTTCCAACATAGTCTTTCGCCAAACTTGACACCGATAGTAAGACGAATGAGAAGAGAACAAAGCAAGGTACACACAGGCGGTTTACGATACCTGGCGGTGTCGATCGGCCTCGTAGATCTCTCCCAGGGACACGAAAGCCTCGTGGTCCTCCATCAGCCGCCTGAACCAAAACGAAAAAAGAAGAGAATTGTTGTTTATTCTTATCACACCGACGTGCCCGAATGGGATGCAACAAAAACATCAACACACTTGTATGCATGTGAAGTGTAGATTGGATCACTGGTGAACACGTGTAGTCGCCATGTGCCACCGTGCCGTGCCGGACCAAGCGCACCTGCACAGTCACGACCCCTCCCCCCGCCCACAAACCTCAAGACAGACGATGTTGCGTGTGTTTGGGTTTACTAGTGACTCCTGCTCGTTTGATCCACAAAAACCATCTCCAGTATCTTGAGGATCAGTGGTCAGCGGGGTCGATAAATATTGCTGCGAGGTAGACCAAACAGCCTTGGTTCCCCAAGAGTCGCACGACCATCCCCAAGAGTCGCACAACAGAAACAACAACAACAACAACAACAACGACAACGATGACCACCATAACAAAAACGACGACGACGACGACGACGCCAACGAAAAGAGGAAACCCACATGCGAGGAGTGATCGGTACGACGACGGGGACTTGCACCGCCAAGTCGCGCCCCCTGGTCTGCGGGTCCCTCTCCAAGAACTTCCGGAGCATCGAGTGCACCTGCATCACCCTCTCGTCCGTCCGCGTCACGTGCGGGATCGCGAACTTGATGGCACGAGACACGACAGAAAAGAAACAACAGCACAAACAAAATAGAACCTTCTTCACCATTTTATGCGAAATCAATCCGCAAAACAGGAGGAACAAACAATGAAGACTTTTGGGTTCGCTACCGGCCAGAGCGCACATGAAGGAACCCGGAACGTCTACAAAGTTGAAACGCCACAGGGTACCCGTGTATCAAACACAACCAGCATGCCCAGGGGGGGGGGGGGGGGGGGGGGGGGGGGGGGGGGGGGGGGGGGGGGGGGGGGGGGGGGGGGGGGGGGGGGGGGGGGGTAGGCATAAGCCGTCAAAATGAAGGGGGGTGCGGGCGGTACCATCGAAAGTAGCAACAACAGCAGCAACAGGCACCGGCGACACCAGAAAGTAGACCAACAGCAACAAACATCGCAAGAACGGTTCGCAAGAACGGTCCGCAAGAACGCGCGCACCTGTACGAGGAAGAAGTACCGGCGACCGTCACTGCCCAGCATGCTCAGCCGCCTCTGAGAGAAACCATGCCTGGGAAGACCGGAAGCAAAAAAAAAACACAAAAAAATACATATAAGGTGATGAAACCACGGAGCCCAACGTATTCGCCCATACTCGCGGGAAACTACATTTTTGGGCCAGTGATAATGGGAGTTTCATGATACTTGCTACGCTCTCCAGGGATATCTGGTCCAATTAGGGTACAGGTACGTCAGATACATTCCCTCCTGACCGCTCGGTGTGGCAAAGCTCCAACCAGGCACGCCTCCTTGGTCGGCGGAACCGGACAAGCTCGACATTTTCGGTCTCCAATGTTTATACAACCGTCCATTCACCAACCGCGAAGACTTCAAAAAGCCGTGAATTGACTTGTCCATGTGATATACAACGCAGTCAGAGAAGCACGGAGAGCAGTGGGGTCCAAATTCGAAGGGGCGCACGGGTGTCCCGCCTCTGCGACCGCAGCGCAGCTTTTAACCATTCGCCCGCAAACATGATGTCTTGACAAGAAGCGGATTCCTCCAGCATTGACGATGCCTTGGCAAGCATCGGATTTCCATCACAACATGGCGTCTGTTAATAAAGAGGGAATCGTCCGCGAAAGACTTTGGGTGGTAGATATTACTCTTTCCCTGAGAAAGCTTCACCCCGCACGCAACAATCACACCAGAATGGCCCGTGCACAACCGATCACACTGGGGAGATGTGACCCTTTCCATGATAAACCATCAACCCCACGAAACAATCACACCACGGTGCCCCCCATGAAACAATCACAACACGGTATGCCCATAAAGCAACACGGTATCCCCATAAAAACCATCACACCACGGTGCCCCTACCGGTGAAGCACCGACACGGTCGAGTGGAAGCGGAGCAGCTTCGCGTGGAGGTCCGGCCTGGGCTCTCCGTCACAGCTGGCGTACTGTCCCGGGATCTCGATTCGCGCCTGGCTGGAAGAATGCCAAGTCTCCAGCTCGCAGTGTACCTGTTCGTATCGTTGTCGGGCGATAGACATCAGAAAATGGTGGTCAAGGCGGAGGCCGGCCAGGTGGTAGCGCCGCGATGTCAGCAGGCACAGAATGAGCCCGCCACAACGTCGTTGGCTCACCTTCTACACGGTAAAGGATTGAGCTGTAGCACTCGAGGTCGACCCATATCGACGAGCACAACCTCCATCGTTTTGCCGCTGTCGACATCGTCATCAAATGTATGACCTCCCAGCTCGAAAAAGACCCGCTAACCACGTTTTCGGTTCTTCGGTGTCTCAAGCGAAAATTTGTCAATTTATCATCGGGCACAATATAATGATCGCACAAAGACATCCTTCGCTTCACGTAGACCTATGCGCAAACGAACACTGAACTCCGCACACACAAACACCCATACGGTACCGTTGCCGTCTTTAATTCGGAGAACAGCCTAATCCCCCCCTACCTTACGGGGTCCGAGGTCATGGCCTTTAGAAACGCTCTACGTTATTAGCCGCACTGACACAGACAAGCACACAGCCTGATGCATGTTCATACGTTCATTGCTCAGTCAGCTGGATGCCGTCGATACAAAAAACAAGGACACGCACAGCCACACTGACGCCATTCATCGGCCAGCAGACTATCACGGTCCACGACAACAAACGTCAAGACACACACGAAAACACACCTGCGCCAGGTAGGGGCTACACCGCTGCAACGGCACCTCCGACGGCGCCCTGAACACTCGGCACCCCAAGAGGTGCTTCCACTTCTTTAGCCGATATACGACCTTGGTCAGGGTCATGCGAGACTCAGGTTCCGTTACCGCCGGCATCGCCACCGGTGGTGCCCCCGGCGATGCGGCGGTCGCCGCCGCAGCTGCAGCCGCTTCTTTCTGCTTCTCTTCGTTGGTGACCTGGACACGTCGAGCGTTATCGTTCTCAAGAGGTTGGAGTAGTTTGACGTCAGGTGCTATCATGAGGCTAGCGTTAGGAGCTCCTTCAGAGGGGGGGGGGGGTCATTCAGAGGGGGGAGCGGGATATTCAGAACGTCCCTTCCCCCATCTCAGACGATTCTAGGTCCATCTCCAATGTTATATCCTACTGGGATTTTCGTTTACAACACGCCATCACCTTGAGGTCTGTCCCATCGTAAACAAAAACTTATGGCATCCTTTTGAAATGAGTGCAGGAGCCCTCAACGCTGTCAACCTTTCACCCAGTCTTCCTGGTAAACAGATCAGCAATACAGACCTTGACGTATTTTCAAATGTAACCTAGCATAGCTCAACCACCCCGCCACCCCCACCCACTTCACGAACACGTCACGACGACCCTCCCACAAACGTAAGCCGTCACCGAAGCCGCATAAAAGATGGATCATTACTACCTCACGAACACGTCACGGCGACCCTCCCACAAACGTAAGCCGTCACCGAAGCCGCATAAAAGATGGATCATTACTACCTCACGAACACGTCACGGCGACCCTCCCACAAACGTAAGCCGTCACCGAAGCCGCATAAAAGATGGATCATTACTACCTCACGAACACGTCACGGCGACCCTCCCACAAACGTAAGCCGTCACCGAAGCCGCATAAAAGATGGATCATTACTACCTCACGAACACGTCACGGCGACCCTCCCACAAACGTAAGCCGTCACCGAAGCCGCATAAAAGATGGATCATTACTACCTCACGAACACGTCACGGCGACCCTCCCACAAACGTAAGCCGTCACCGAAGCCGCATAAAAGATGGATCATTACTACCTCACGAACACGTCACGGCGACCCTCCCACAAACGTAAGCCGTCACCGAAGCCGCATAAAAGATGGATCATTACTACCTCACGAACACGTCACGGCGACCCTCCCACAAACGTAAGCCGTCACCGAAGCCGCATAAAAGATGGATCATTACTACCTCACGAACACGTCACGGCGACCCTCCCACAAACGTAAGCCGTCACCGAAGCCGCATAAAAGATGGATCATTACTACCTCACGAACACGTCACGGCGACCCTCCCACAAACGTAAGCCGTCACCGAAGCCGCATAAAAGATGGATCATTACTACCTCACGAACACGTCACGGCGACCCTCCCACAAACGTAAGCCGTCACCGAAGCCGCATAAAAGATGGATCATTACTACCTCACGAACACGTCACGGCGACCCTCCCACAAACGTAAGCCGTCACCGAAGCCGCATAAAAGATGGATCATTACTACCTCACGAACACGTCACGGCGACCCTCCCACAAACGTAAGCCGTCACCGAAGCCGCATAAAAGATGGATCATTACTACCTCACGAACACGTCACGGCGACCCTCCCACAAACGTAAGCCGTCACCGAAGCCGCATAAAAGATGGATCATTACTACCTCACGAACACGTCACGGCGACCCTCCCACAAACGTAAGCCGTCACCGAAGCCGCATAAAAGATGGATCATTACTACCTCACGAACACGTCACGGCGACCCTCCCACAAACGTAAGCCGTCACCGAAGCCGCATAAAAGATGGATCATTACTACCTCACGAACACGTCACGGCGACCCTCCCACAAACGTAAGCCGTCACCGAAGCCGCATAAAAGATGGATCATTACTACCTCACGAACACGTCACGGCGACCCTCCCACAAACGTAAGCCGTCACCGAAGCCGCATAAAAGATGGATCATTACTACCTCACGAACACGTCACGGCGACCCTCCCACAAACGTAAGCCGTCACCGAAGCCGCATAAAAGATGGATCATTACTACCTCACGAACACGTCACGGCGACCCTCCCACAAACGTAAGCCGTCACCGAAGCCGCATAAAAGATGGATCATTACTACCTCACGAACACGTCACGGCGACCCTCCCACAAACGTAAGCCGTCACCGAAGCCGCATAAAAGATGGATCATTACTACCTCACGAACACGTCACGGCGACCCTCCCACAAACGTAAGCCGTCACCGAAGCCGCATAAAAGATGGATCATTACTACCTCACGAACACGTCACGGCGACCCTCCCACAAACGTAAGCCGTCACCGAAGCCGCATAAAAGATGGATCATTACTACCTCACGAACACGTCACGGCGACCCTCCCACAAACGTAAGCCGTCACCGAAGCCGCATAACAGATGGATCATTACTACCTCACGGACAGATCATCGCTACCACCCTCCCACAAACGTATGTCGTCACCGAAACCGCAAACAGATAGATCATCACTACCTAACGGACAGGTCATCGCTACCACCCTCTCACAAACGTAAGCCGCCACCGAAACCGCACAACGTTAGATATAATGAAAAGTCGGTTTTTCTTAGTGGTTCGGTGCGTTGTCCTCTAAGTCATCACTACCGTTACCGACCTCGAAGTCCTTCTCGAAAGTCGCCTGATACAGCTCGACGAACCGCTGGTGCTTGGGAGACTTGTGGGCCGCGTCCCTGTTGAAGAACTTGCGGCAAACCCTTTCCAGGGTGGACTTGAGGGTCACGGGGATGACGTCATCCATCGGCAACGTCACCAGCTGTGCGCGTGATTAAAAAAAAACGACAACAACGACAAATGAAAATGACAACGGGATGAAATGCGTTAGTCGGGGATAGTGGGGGAAACGTCCAACAAGCGGTAAAGGGTACGCAGGTGACAATGGTGGGTTGAAAAGCCTGGAGAATTGAGACATAGTAATCGGGAGAGAGAAAGACGGGGGGGGAAGATGGTAGGAGGGTAATGTTGGCATAAACGAACCGAGAGAGATGAGACAGATAATCACCGCTGTAGAGAAGGCATATTGTTCACTGGCTTCCCCACAATAGTTGCGCAGCGAAGCGACTACGCCACGTGTGGGTGGACACGTCAAGAAAACAGCGGCAGCAGCAGCAGCAGCAGCAGCAGCAGCAGCAGCAGCAGCGGTAACGACGACAATGACAGCAGTGTAGAAGCGACATGTACAACACAACAGCAACGGCGACAGCGTACCTGGAAGCACTTGATGAGCAGCGCGTGCACGGCAGAGTGCAGCTCCTCTCCAGGCTCAGGTCTGAAGTGAACGATGATCTCCTCGAGAATCGTTTCCATTTCCGCCCCCTACACAAGAAACACGTTGGGCAAAACAAAGAAAAAAATCCTTGAAATCATTGCAACACAAGAAAAAAACAGCGGCAAATTCGACAAGTCTTGGCCTCCAACGACGCAAACCTGTACCCGCGTCTTCACGAGATTGAGCGTAGTTGTAGACTTGGAATAGTTTGGGGGTAACAAGGTAAACTACCGTAGCTTGACCCCACGTCGACATAATTTTACACCCACTTACTGAGCTTATGCATCGCGTGCTGTGCGCCCCCCCCCCC